CCCCTCAACCTACCTCCCCTGCCGGTCGCTGAGGACCTCTGAAGCCAGCGCGGCGAGGTGACAGGCGCCGTTGCTCCTGGCTTAAGGGAACGGTAGGAGCCCCTCCCCGGGTTTCCTCACAACATTGGCGCTGTTGCCGGGGAGGGGAGCAGCACCCCCAAGGCCGCGGCCTTCCCCAACCAACGGGGGTGCACGGGCTGATTAGGCAAATACTAATTAGCTTGTTTTCTTGATTAGTTTTATTTTTTATAATCATTTTATTTAGTTTTTTTTATATATCTCCCGATCCGCGCGCTTTCGTGCGAGCCGCACCACGAGCAAAGTTCGCCCTCTCGTCGAGGCGAACGTTTTGAGATGTTTTTTGAAAAATTCTAACGGCTAGAAAAAAAGATATGGAATTTTTTGTATTCTTCTAATTAAAAATCTAAAAAATAATGGATTAAAATTTCTAATTGGTTTTTCCTCGATATCTCCTGATCCGTGCGTTTTTGCGCGAGGCGCACTGGGAGCAAAGTTCGACCTCTCGTCGAGGAGAACGTTTTGAGACATTTTTTGAAAAAATTTAATGGCTAGAAAAGGAGATATGAAATTTTTTGTAATTTTCTAATTGAAATTCCGAAAATCATAAATTTCCTTTTATTTTAATTACGAAGAAAAGAAGCGAAATTAGATGAACCCCGCCCAGACAAAAGTTGGTCCTTGTATTTTTCCCGACATTTTGAGACCTTAGTCGGGGAAAACAGACTCCGTTAGGACGAGTGATGACTGCCAACAGACAGGAAAAGAGGGGAAAATTAAGAGGAATTAGTGATTTTCTTTATATTTTTATAAAAATAAAAGGGAAACAGAAGTCGGCAAAAGTGATCCATTGGAACCCGGCATTTAACTGACTACAAACCGACGGAAAATTTTCTGCCTCGAGAAGTCGAACGTGGTGGCGTGCGGTCGCGCGCAAAACCCCAAAACCCTAATTGGCGGAAACCCTAATTAGGGTAAACCCTGACCCTAAGTTAGGGAAGGGCGGTGCGTAGCCGGGCGGATACAAGTCTTTCTATCCGACCGGTGATGGGAAAATTTTGTATRAATCCAGTTGACCAAATTGAAATTAATCAATATTGGAAATTTTGTTTTATTAAATAATTTAAGTTGTAAATTTGTTTTAAGTAATGATTTGTCATTAAAAATCGATTAAAAATCAAAATAAATATCTAAAATTCTTCAAGAAAGGGGAATCGGCTTTATTTCGACTTTGTGATTCGGGAGATACTTCGCTTAACCCCATCCCAACGGGGGGAAGCAAAGTGCTGCCGAAATTTCTCGGCAATTTGCTGAATTTTATTGAATTAAATCTTAAATAATTAAAGAAAATACTTGAAAATTAGCGAAAGATTGAGATACTTTTTCAGTTCTTAACCTTTCTTGTTAAACATCTTCCGTCGGTATTTTGAGGTCTTCGGCCAAACCCTATCCCAACGGGGGGGAGCCAAAGTGCTGCCAAAACTTCGCAAAATTTCCTAATTTAAATTATTAATTCTTTTTTTTTATAAATATATTGAAAGCGATTAGAAAAATTAATTATAAATACGTTAGAAATTTGTTTCTTTCAGCGACTTTCCTCTTGTTTCATTTGGCTTTAGTTCTAGGAAGGTAGCATTTGTCTAGGGACAATAGTCCTGAACTCTATCCCAACGGGGGGAAGCGAAACGCTGCCGAAATTTTCGTAAATTCCCCAAATTTTATTTCTACCCCTCAAAAGCATCAAACTCGGCGGGCTTATATAAGTATTGATCCTTAATATATATAAACTAAGAAAGAAATTTTATCTTAACTAAATACATTTTCTTTAATTTATAATTGAAAAATACAAAAGAATTCCCTAGAAGGAGAAGGGAAAGAGACGTTGCGGTAACCTGGTTTCTAGTGAACCTACTAGCTTGTTCTCGAAGGCGTGAGGCAAGCGACGCGAAATTTTAGTTATTAATCTACACCTCCCTCTTGCTGCGTTCTCTCTAGCCGCCAGTTGAATGTGGCCGCGGGTGCAAGTAGAGGTCTATGGGGCTACCATTCACTGGGACTTAGAGGCCCCTGAACTCATAAAGGGGGATCTGGTGGAGCTCACGATCCCCGGACGCAGCATTCGACACCCGAGAGGTCTCATGATCTAGAAGGGGTCAGTCATCTGATAGCGGATAGAGCACACAATTTAGAGATAGGACTAACACTCGCAGGGGCGAGCAAAAGTTGGTGAAGAAGCGAGTTGTTGGCCAGAGTGATCGTTAATCAGCAATTGGCGAGACTCTCTGGAGGGAGGACGAGTTGGAGCTGCTTGGTATACGGTCCACCACATCCGACCCTCTACCCGAGAAAAGATTGGCGATTCGGACTTCCTACCTTCGTGATAGGGCAGACCTATGAGAGCGTGGATCGTTTGAGTAGAGCAGTGGACCACACACTTTACGCGTTCTGGGAGGGCTTAACACCCCGCTTCAAGGAAGTATACTACGCCATTTGTGTGAGGTGGGGGCCGCCCAGTAGAGAGACGCTTGACGACATCATAGATGTTACTAGCTGGGTGAACTATCTGAGGCCTATCGACCTGACTAGGTACTGCAGGAGACGGGCAAAGATCGATTATGCGGGACTAGAGGATGTGAGATTTCTCTTCGAGGCCGCAGCTTAGGGAATGCCGGGAAGGACGACCTTGGTGATGCGTGTAGAAGAGCAACTGGTAAGCGTAGGATACACTGTGACAGTACTTCTCCGAGCGTACATAGACGAGGACTTGACAGCAAGTGAGTGCAGACAACGAGCTAGGGATTTGATCCACGAGCGTAGAGCTGATGTACTGGCACGAGTGACCTTCCAGACCTCGATTTCCTATGATGTGATGATATGGTCTCGTGGTTATATGCGCGCGGAGCACTACCACGATGAGACGGTAGCGGAGGCTAGAGCGACGGTGAGAGGATGAACTGGAAAAAGATGTGGACTGAGTATGGAAGACGAAAGTGAGGCAGTCGGAAGAGTCAGAAAGCGCGTTAAAGAACCACTCTTGAACCAGGTAAAGAAGTTGGGGGACAAGTTAAGGGAGATCTGGTCGTGTCAAGACGAGGGCAAGTTGCGTAGGGCTGAACTCGTGACGAGAAAGTTAGAGAGTCTGTTTAGGGAGGAAAGAGAGATTATCCGGGCGTCGGGATCAGATTTTTTGGAGAGGGTAAAGGCTAGAAGCGTATCACGCGAAGAAACTAGTGAGCGATCTGCAGAGAGCGAGACAACGGAAGACAAAGTAACGCAGGGAAGTAGCGACAGGACATGAGCGGGACTGCACTACACACGACGGATCGATACTCATTACATGTGGTAGGGAGATTGGACGGACCATTAGTGTTAATGATCATAGAACTCCAGCTCCATACCAGACTGTGCATAGTTGAGGAGGCAGAGTGTGTCCGCCGCGCGCTGCGAGAGGCTAGGGGAACAGGACTTTGGATTGTAATAGAAGGAGGACGGAGGATAAAGTACGTACTCCAAGTGACACCTTTCGAAGGGCGGTCTCGGATAAGGGCATGGTACGAGACGACCAGAGAGGCTGAGAGGTTGAAGATAAGCGAAGCCAGGAAAGCTGGAGAGTTAGCGAGAGTTGTAACAGATGGTGCAATACTCAGGGTGTTAGCCGCTCACAACCGGTACTGGAAGGAAACGATAAAGACTTTAGAGGCGATAGACGATGGAGGAGATAATGAGGACTTTGAAACATTTTATGACATATTGGAGCCTGTCTCTTATACACATCTAGATGTGTATAAGAGACAGGTGCAATACTCAGGGTGTTAGCCGCTCACAACCGGTACTGGAAGGAAACGATAAAGACTTTAGAGGCGATAGACGAAGGAGGAGATAATGAGGACTTTGAGACATTTTATGACATATTGGAGCGGTCGGCGATGAGGTTACAAGTCGTTATAGCACTAACTTACCTCAGCTGTTAGACARATGACCTCGTARCCGTTGAGGAGATAAGGTAGTGGAAATAGAAATTGGAAGCTCTTGGAAGGATAGAGGAAGCTAGAAAGGTCGATGGGCGACATTGGACAACAGTAGGAAGGCCTTTAGCGGGCTAACCGATTCAGATAGGGCTAGGAGAACTAGCAAGGAGGACGGAGAGAGACGCTCAGAGACTCTTGAGGGGTGTCACGGGTGAACTGCAGATCTGGAGAGGCACGGCCTTGTTGGCCGATCCCAAAGGAGAGGTTTACTTAGACACAGGGATTCTTGGGATAGAGGGAGAACACGAGATCTGCGGCCGGTACGGGTTACTGGAGGTGGTAATCAAGGCAATCAAGAGCTAAGTTTGGAGGCGGACGCGAGCCATGACAAGGAAACAGGTCCGGGCTGCCGCAACTGTCACAGGTCCGGGCTGCAGCGACTGTCATAGGGTCGGGTTGTAACAGTTGGCAAGAAAACCTAACTGCGTCTTCAGACGGTCCAATGGAATCCGACACGATGGGGCCACAACCGACCATGGGCGAAGCGGGAGAGGCGTATAGGACATCGCCCGATTGAGCTCTGAGAGGACTAAAGGAACGAATTAGGCAAGAAGCACCGCTGAGATGGGCTGACCAAACCAATGACGGAGGGTCCGACGTAAGAGGCGAACCAGTTGCGACAGAGCCGCAGGAGGCTCTAAGGACGGGTACCTCGAGCAGACGACGAGAAACAACAAGACGACGCTCCGCCGAGTACGAGCGGAGGGACACCATAGTGGATAGGCACAGAGACGACTGGAGAGAGAGTTTGAGGGATTCCTATTGGAGGGACAGAGATAGAGACAAGGCGCCGCCCAGGCGAGTCTTCGACCCCCAGACAGGGGAGTCACATCCACTCCCTTACGAAAGCAAGGATCGCTATATTATTACGCACAAGGCCTTAGAGCCTCCTACCTTCAGGGGTTATGGTATCACAGAATATCAGGAGAAGTGGGAGCTTCACGCCAGCCGGAGTCAGTGGTCGGAGGAAGAGATTATAGAAAACTTCCTATTTAATGTGGACCCAAGTCTTGGTAGGGAAGTTAAGGAAGCTCGACCGAAGGATGGGAAATGGACTACGTACAAAAAGAACCTCGTTGAGCTTTACAAATTGAAGGATAACAAGTATTCCATCAAGGACCTTAAAACAATGACTGAAGATGAAGATGAGAGCGTACGGGCATTTGGGATGCGTTTCCAAAAGATCTCCGACGTGCTGATAAAGAAGGGGAAGATCTCAGAGGTTGAGCGCTGTACTATCTTCATCGGACACTTGTCCAAAGGTAGGCAAAAGAGTATACTTAGAGATCTTCCGCGCGACAGGCTTGATTTCCCAGAAGTCCTAAAGCTCGCGATAAAGGCAGAGACAGACGATTACAAGGACTTGGTGTGGAGAGGGATGAGGAGATGTGACTTCTCTCTCTACAAGGAGTATGCCACTGATAGATGTCATGATTTCAAGGATTATCCCTGGTCGGAGAAGAATGAGGCCGTGGTTGAGGAAGTGAAGGAGATACGGGACATGGTGAAGGGATTAACGAGACAGGTTACAGAGATTGTGACCGCTACAGAGGCCACGGCCTACTGGGACAAACCTGGAGGGCCCTATTCACTTCGCTGGGACCGTAGGAACAACGATCCCTGGAGGACTATCGAGGATAGAAATCCTCGGACGATGACTGATTATCATACGAGGGGAAGAGAGAGAGACGATGAGCCATGGTGACGTAGGGACGATGAGATAGACCGAGACCGCAGAGATCGCGAGCCATTTGTGCGAGCAAGGAGGCTGGATGATTACCCGCGAAGCCCTCGCTATGAGGCCGATCGGGGTAAAGGTGACTCCCGCGGCCGATGGGAGACAGAACAGGGCCGACGAGATGGATATAGGGACGATAGATACGAGAGATCGGACCGAGATTGATATAGGGACGACAAATACGAGAGGTCGGGTCGAGATGGCTACAGAGGAAGTATATATGAGAGAGGAGATCGGGACTGGGAACGACAAGATGGGTCGCGCGGACGGTTTGAGCGCGGGGGAGATGCGAGAGAGCAGCGCGACGAGTCGCGGGGGTGGTACAACCGAGGGGACCGACGCGATGAGTCACGAGAACGATATGACTCGGGGGACTGCCGGAATGATTCGCGAGGGCGGTATGAGCAAGGAGGGTTTGGAGGAGACCGGCGCAACGATCCGCGCGGTCGGAATGAGAGAGGGGGATATGGCGTCTCATCAGAACCATATCCCAAGTCGCCTGACCCCAAGGCGGCCAGGAGTTCGATCTCTAGAGGCGCAGACGATAGGGCATCTACTCCGAGGAACTCATGCGTCTACTGTAGAGGAGAAGATCATATGAAGAGGGATTGCCCGGACCTCAAACGCGCAATAGATGAGGGATTTGTCGTGCTTGACGACCGCAAGTACGTCAAGTGGGCAGATGATCTGGGAGATGTATCGATGTTCCCTTCGATGAAGGAGAATGTCGAAGCAAGGAGAATAAAGACGAGTAAAGGAATGGAGCCGGTCAGGAGCCACAGCATCAAGATAACCTTTGAGGGGGATATCGCGACCACACCCATAAGGCTGGCAGCCACCAAGTCGGCAAGAGGGTGTACATCGAAGAAGACTGACACGGATTACGTGATGGCGGAGAAGGACGGGCAGCGGGTCGATGCAGAGGAGGTTATCCTTTCGCCGCGAAAGCGGGGAGTGAAGAAGTTCTTAATGAAGAGTTCGGTGGACGAGATTGACACGGTCGAGCCACTGAGGCGGGCCCTTCGGCAACCCATGCAGTGCTCTATTCTGGAGTACCTAGCGGCATCGAAGCCGGCTCGTGATGAATTACAGATGATCACGCGGAAGACTCGCATACCTCTATCAGAGGAGGGTCAGGGGGCCCCTAAGGCGGAAGCTTCTACAGTAGCAGTAACGGGGGTGGCGGAAGCTTCTACAGTAGCAGTAACGGGGGTGACTGCCAGAGCGGATCGCATGGCGACAGTCCTTCTCGATGGAATGGAAGGTGTGCCTCCAGA